TTCTCTGGCAACGGCGGGGAGTCAACCCAGGACGCCTTCATGTACATGGGCCTGGATCATGTCCGAGGGAAGGTCGCAGTTCTCAGCGTTGCAGGCGTGGGCTTCCGCTTAGCTGAGCCCCAGAAGGAAGTGTCCGTCATGTAGGAGAGGCGCAAGTCTCGCGAGGAGAGGGCCACCACCAAGATCAAGCAGAAGCCCATAGAAGGACGGACAATATGATGGCTGAGACCACTCGGGCGGCGGGGAGAGGCCGACCGTCGTCCTGTTCTTTGGAGGCCCGTCGCACAGGTGAGCTCATTGCTGTGCCTATGCGTGCGTGTGTGCATATCTCTCCTCCCCCTGGCCTCTCCCTCGAGGCCAATCCCGCTCGCAGCTCTCCGCCTGTGCAGCCGCCGCCTGGCCTTGCTCGTCAGTCGTGTAAGCGTGCCTGCAACGAACGTGAGCGGGACATCTTTCCTTTACTTGTTTCCATGAGGAGGGGGGTGGGGGCAGCCGCAGACAGTTTTGTCCCCGTGTCGGGGTGTGCAGAGGCGGCGCAGGAGAGTCCAGCAGTATCGTGACTGGGCCAACGACGGTACTTCTGGTCTGAATCAGCTCTCTGGGGACGGGCAAACTGGGGGCCCCGTTGGCATCGAGAATGCTGGACAACGAAATGCGCTCAAGCACATCCGCAAATCTTACTCTGGTGTATCTGCTGCCCCTCCAGATCTCGCTACTGGCGCGGGGTCTTTGCGCGAGATCTGCGCAGCCCCTGGACTCTATGATGACGGGTCTGGGTCCACGCGCGGGCCGCGTAACCGGCGATTGCTCGCCCTCCCCGACCAGGCTGATGCAGCCTGTGTGATGACTATGTTATCTCCCTGTTACTCTACGTGGTTGCGAGATAGCCAGGTGACTTTGCTCAGGGATGGTAATGAAGCTAAGCCCGTGCATCAGGAACTGGGTCCGAGGAAGCCGTGCCTCCATCCCTTCCTGAAAACAGCCCCAAAGCCTACTCCGACTTCCTCGCCCTCCTTTTTCGATCGCGGAATGCTTGACTGGACCGTGGCCCCAGAGACGCCCCATGGTATCGGCGTGTTCTTTGTTGCTAAGAAGGGCGGGAGGATCCGCGTCATTTTCGATGCCCGCGCTTGCAATTACTCTTTCAAGGACCCCCTCTCCGCCAGGCTGCCGACGGCCTTGTCTCCCAATCAGGTGGAGATCGACGGGCCAGCCTTCGTGGCCACAGGTGGCATCTATGCCGAACTTTACAGGATGGGATTACCATCATTCTTGAGACTCTACTTCCGCTTGCCGTATTCGGCCGCCAGACACTTGGGTCTCAAAGTCTCGCGCGGGCAGCGCTTCCACCCTTATTCCCTTATTGCTCCTCGTTTACGTGTTCTCCCCGCGGGAATGTCTTGGTCGTTGCTGTAATGCCAGAGAACGGTCCGACACAGTGTTTCATCGGTGAATCTCCCTACCTCGCTCACTGTTTTGGATGGCTCACCTGCCGTGGCGATGCATGGGGGGGCCTGCGGTGGCGGGGTCTGTTGGCGACGTTTTGATTATCGGGACCGATAAGCAACAGACCGACCGACTCCTGGTCGAGATCCGCGGGGTTCTGGAGCAGATGGTTTTTCACGAGGTTGGGGGAGGCGCCCGCGATTTAAGCATTCTCGGCCCCCCGCTCGCCGGGGGCGACGGGCTCTCGACTGGGCGCCGCAACCTATGGCGCCTTCGGTTTGCTATCGAAGCTCTGCTGCGACGGCGCCGCTGTAGTGGGCGCCTCCTCCAGGCGCTCCTGGGGCATATCGCGTGGGCCAGGCTGATCCGACAGAGGTTTGCAGCATGCTGCAGGTGTGCTGCGCTGCTGTCGCCAGACATGGTCACAGGGTCGCGGGGATTTGGCCTGCCGTTCGACGGGGGCTCTGGTCGATCAGGGGTCTACTGCCGCTGTTGAACGTGCGCTGGTCTGCTCGCTGGCATCCGACCGTCCAGGCTAACGGCGCCTCGACATCCGGCCTAGACGTGCGCGCCCGACAGGCGGATCCTTCTCACGTCGGTGCAATCGGCAGGATCTCAGAGAAATGGCGATTCCAGTTCGAGCAGTGCATTGACGCGACGAACCGCGCGCTCCTTGATCCTCTCAGACCACGTGTCAGGCCCAGCTTCCCAGGCCCCCAGCCTCTCCGACTGCGGCGGCGGCGACCTCGACGGTGGCGACAACTACATTTGCTGCCCTCCTATGATGGCGACGACGGCGGTGGTGGTCAGACGGGCATCCGCACCCATGGCTCGCGGTCCACGGCCAGGCCCCCGCCGACGAACGGCCCTGGTCACCTCGTGCTCCCGCCGCGCACGCCGAAGGCCAGGGCTGCTCTGGCGACTTCGCGCGGGCGGGGGGCCTCCGACATGTCAGGCAAGCTCGAGAAGGAGCGACCCACTCGACCCGAGATGCCCATCCGTAACCTCGGGCTTCCAGTGGGCGAGCGTGCTGGAGAATATTGCCGCGGGGCCTGGGGCCGTGTCGCTGTGCCAGAGGGCGCTGCTGTCGTGTCCGATGCACTGCCAGATGATGCAGCTGACGTGGGGCACCGTGGCGGAGTTGGACACGATGGCCGCGGATACCTTAAATTCAACGTGCATTGAAGGAGCATGGGGCCGACGAGGCCAGCCGCGCGATCGCCGCGCTGGGATGCGAGTTCCCGGAACTCTAACAAGAAGACCCGCGCGGCGCTTCGTCGGGCCACCTGGCGCGCCGTCAGCTGGGGCCGACGCGCGCTTGCCCAGCCGCGCCTCCCGCTGCCGCGTCTGGCGGCTTTGGCCATCGCGGGCGGGGTGATCGTGATCGGGCTCCCCAGGATGGCCGCCGTGGCTGCAGTCTCTCACGCTTGCTACCTTCGCCGCGTCGAGGCCGCGGCCCTCATCGGCGAGAGCATTGGCAGCCGTGCCAGCTGCTGGTGTGGGCTACGCCATGAGGGGACTGGTCCTGCACGAGACCCCCCTCGGCGTGCCGGGGAGCCGCCGCCCGCTCTAGGGCTTCGACTGCGAGCTGTGCCGCGAGGCGTTCGCGGCGGTAGCCGAGGGCCTGGGGCTGGGGCCTCTCGACCCACGCCCATATCAACTTCGACGCGGAGGCGCTTCGGAAGACCTGGCATCTCAGCGACGGACTCCAGAGCAAGTCATGCGACGCGGGCGGTGGGCCACCGCCGCCACCTCCCTGAAGCGATGCGGGAAGGAGACCAAGCTGTCGAGGGTGATCAGCCAGATTTCCCACTCCGTCTTCAGCATCGGCAGCGAGATGCCCCAGGATTTCAGCCGAGCCCTCCGGAGCGGCGTCGGGGCCCGCCGAGGGCAGCTCCCCATGCTGGTGCTGCTGGAGACTGGAGTTCGGCGAGAGGCAGCTGGGGTCCCCGTCGATCTCCCGAGCCAGGTCCCTGCCCTGCGCCCCGGGTGAGCCGCGCCCTCCGGGTCAGAAGGTATCTCCAACGCCTGCTAACCAGGGCCCATAAGGAAATGCGACGCGCAACCGACGTGTGATTGTCCTGGAGTTGTTCGCTGGGGATGGAGGTATCGGTCGTTTGATGAAATCCAAGGGGCTTGCCGCTCTCAGCCTGGACATCCGAAACCGCCCTCTTCAGGGCCGCCTGGGTCCGACCTTCCAATCCACGGTGAAAGGTTGGATCCGAGGGGGAGTCGCGGGCGCTGTTTGGCTAGGAACGCCGTGTGCTACCTGGTCTATCGCTAGACGACTGGCCATCCAGGACAGTGATCATATCTTGGGTCTCCGTGGGCTTGCTCTTACTCAACCATTCTAGCTTAATGTTGGCGACGATGCGTATCTCTTCTCTACTCAGGTTATCCGTCTCGCTACTCGCCACAAAACACCCGTTGCTCTGGATAACCCAGGTACCTCTATGTTGTGGCGAGGGCCGCGCTTGTGCAGACTTCTGAACCACGACACATGCGTCATGAATGTCTGTGATGCGTGCCATGTGGGGGCCCGCTGGAAAAAAAACGGACCCGTATCACGATGTGGAGTGCATGTAGGTGTGCAGATATCGAATGCGTCTGCCATTCTCAAGGTAAGATCTGTTCGAGGACCAAGAACCACACGTTGAACTAGCAGGAAAAACGGACGAGGGTATTCATTGGACAGCTATCGCAGCCGCGTGCCCCAATACTTTGTGTCTATCTTGGGACAGCACTTTGTAATTGGTATGCAGAACATCAGACAATCAATACTGAACCAATGAAACATGGTACAGTCAACCCGCACAGTAAGGATGGACACCATTCCCAAGGGTACCTTTGCGTCCTTGTCTCCTCGGTCCATCCTTGGCCGTTTTCGCTGTCCGCGCCCCGCTCGAACAGCTCCGAAGTGTCCTTGCGAGACCCTTGCATCCTTATCTCGCATCCTTACTCTACGGGTTGGATGTATGTGGCCTTCCGCCAGCTGGCCAGTCGGGAACGGGCGTCGGAGGTTCGGCCTCTGCGACCCCGCCGCTGCCCCTCGTGAGCCCGGCTGCTTCACCTCCTCCTGAGAAAAAATGTTTCCCTGGCTCCGTGGGTGCTCATGATCACTGTTTGGATGGATTGCATGAAGTGGGAGTTGAAAGAAAGGGGCCGCGCAACGTTGTGGCTCAAGGTTCTGCCTGGGAGCGCTCATTCTTCCCACCCCGCTTTCGCATTTTACTCTGTCTTCTTCCCTCCCAGGGGCGACGGATGTTCGGCCTCAGCGACTCCGCCGTTGCCACTCGTGAGCCTGGCTGCCTCACCTCCTCCTGGGAAAAAAGATGTCTCCCTGGCCCCATGGGTGCTCAAGGTCACTGACTCTGACGATAACGATGACGACGATGACGACGATGACGACGACGACGCTGATGGTGATTATGCTGCTGCTGATGATGATGGTAATGCTGATAATGATGAGGATGATGATGACGATAATGCTGCTGCTGCTGCGGATGATGGCGATGATGATGATTATGTAGGTGATGCTGGTGATGGTGGCGATTTTGCTGCTGCCGATGATGATAATGCGAATGCTGCTGCTGATGCTGATGATGATGGAGGAGGAGGAAGAGGAGGAGGAAGAGGAGGAGGCGGAAGAGGAGGAGGAGGAGGAGGGGCAGGTGGACGAGGAGGAGGAAAAAAGGCAGTGGGACATGGTGGAGGCCAGGCTGCCGCAGCCCTTCTGGCTTGCGGCGCGCAGCGGCCGCAGCCCCGTTGCCGCAGCCCCTCTGGCCTGGCCGCAGCCCTTCTGGGCCCCTGCTCCGCGAGGGGGGGGCCCTTTCGCCCAGCGCGTGGTCCGCTGGTGCGCGCCCGTTCCTTCGACCTGCAGCTTCCGCACCTTCCGCGCGGTAGGTGCTGCGCTGCCGCGGCCCCAGCGGCGACAGCGGCGGCCGCATCGCGGCGGCACCTTCCGCGCGCAAGGTGCGGAAGGTGCAGGTGGAGGGTTGGCCACCACGCTTGGCTGATGGGAGCTGAGCTGAGCTGCGCGGAGGGGTCCGAGCCCGACGAGGCCGTGGGCCGCAGAATTGTTTTTTCGGGCCCCCGTGTCTGGGGAGCACCTCTCGGCGGCCAGTTTTTGCAGTTTTTTTCTTTTTGTTGCTGTTTTTTTGTTTTCCTTTTTCTTTTCTGATTTTGGGCACTTGGAGGCCCGCCGTGGGGCCCCAGGAAACGTCCCGTCCCAGGACAGGGCGCCGGTCCCAGGGACGGAGTCGAGGGGTCTGGGGCCGCACGCCGTGAAACATCGAGACGTCTTGAGGACTGGGGACCCCCTCTTCCGCTTCTTCCCCCTCCCCGTCCCCCGTCCCCGTCCCCCTCCCCCTCCGCCTCCTCCTCCTCCTCCTCCTCCTCCTCGTCCTCCTCCTCCTCCTCCTCCTCCTCCTCCTCCTCCTCCTCCTCCTCCTCCTCCTCTATCAACATCGTAGCTCGTAGCTCGTGGCTGGTGGCTCCGGAGTTCACCCGAACGCCGCCGGGGGGGGGGATCAGCAGACGCGAGGATCCCCCACGGGTGGCCTTCGCTGGGGGCGGAGAGCAGCTGGGTCCTCGCCCAGGGTGGCGGAGCAGCTCCCACGGGGGGGAGCGCCCCCCGCAGGGCGAGGAGGGTCCCCCTGCAGCGTGGGGAGGATCCCCGCGGGGCGAGGAGGATCCCCGCAGGCCGAGGAGGATGCTGCACCGGTGTCGGAGGCTTGGGCCCTCCTCCTCCTCCTCCTCCTCCTCCTCCTCCTCCTTCTCCTCCTCCTCCTCCTCCTCCTCCCACTCCTCCTCCTCCTCCTCCTCCTCCTCCTCCTCCTCCTCCTCCTCCTCCTCCTCCTCCTCCCAGGGGGGCGGAGTAGCTGGGTCTTCCGTCCACCCCTGGAAGGCAGGGGATGGGGACGACGGAGCGGCGGCGGCAGAGCAGATGTCTGCGACTAACACAGGAGGAAGAGGAAGAGGGAAGAAGCGGGAGTTGGCGGCGGCCGGGGCAAAGTTGGGAAACGTGGGTTAGGCGGCCGGCGAGTGGCAAAAGAGCTGCTGTGGGAAGGCTGAGAGCGCGGCGGCTGGCAAGTGGCGGCAGAGTTGCCCTGGAGTGTGTGTGTGTGTGTGTGTGTGTGTGTGTGTGTGTGTGTGGCTAGACTCTTGGCGGGCTGCGTCGCTGGGAGTGACGGCGAGTGCTGCGGCAGTTGCGGCTGCTGGGCCGCGGCCGCACTCGCTGTACGTGGGATGGCGCGAGGGCCTTTCCCGTCCAGTCCGGCGGGCTCCTCGTGGAACGGCCCCCTGTTCCACCCAGGGTGCCCACAGCCCGCCGAGGCGGGAGGAGGAGGAGGAGGAGGAGGAGGATGAGGAGGAGGAGGAGGAGGAGGAGGAGGAGGAGGAGGAGGAGATGATGATGATGATGATGATGATGATGATGATGATGATGATGATGATGATGATGATGATGATGATGATGATGATGATGATGATGATGATGATGATGATGATATGATGATGATGATGAGGATGATGATGATGATGATGATGATGATGATGATGATGATGATGATGATGCTGCTGCTGCTGCTGCTGCTGATGATGATGATGATGATGATGATGAGATGATGATGAAGAGGAGGAGGAGGAGGAGGAGGAGGAGGATGAGGAGGGGAGGATGATGAGGATGATGATGATGATGATGATGATGATGATGATGATGATGATGATGATTGATGATGATGATGATGATGATGATATGATGATGATGATGATGAGGAGGAGGAGGAGGAGGAGGAGGAAGGAGGAGGAGGAGGAGGAGGAGGAGCTGCTTCCGAGGGTGCCTGCCAGCGGAGGGGAGAGGTGCACGCCATCCCGCGGCGGTTGTGGGCCGCGACCGCCTTGGCCCCAGCCAGGATGGCTGGCGGCGCGCGCTCCCCCTGACCCCCCCATGCCTGTCCCGTTCCCTCCATCCTCGCGAGTGGGGCAGGGTGAGTGTTACACAGCGGGGTGAGAAGTGGGCGAGCCTGCAAGGGAAGAGGGCGTGCAAGCAGAAAGGTGAAGATTGGGGAGAATTTGCTCCTCAGTGTCGTATCTGCGATAGGTATGTAATACTACCCATGCCGTGTCCACCCACCCATGTCCATCCGGCCATGTTGGAAATAGGTTGGTGAGTTCTCTTCGCGAACCTGGGCTCCTCATGGGCAGGCCCTGTCGCATAGGGGAACGAACAATGACATTTCTCGGATCGGCGCTGGACCCCCCCCTGGCGGCGCCTCCGGCGCCGCCCCTGGCGGGGGGGGGGGTCCAGCGCCGATCCGAGCAATCCGCGCGGACCTCTTATGCTCCTGTCATTGCTCGCCCCCCTGTCGCAGGCCTCTGAGGGTAGTGTTCGCCTCGATGCCGGTGGCTGGGGCTGTGCTGCGGGGCGGCTGTGGTGGCACCTCGCGGAGGCCACGGGCCCGAGCGCTGCAGTTCTGGTGGATGGGGAGCTGCGCGCGGCCCGCGCCCCCACGGCGGCGGGGGGCGTAGGCTGCCGTCGTTCCGCTTCCGTCGGGAGGGGGGGAGGGACTTATCGGGTATAGCCAGGACCCAGGTAAGGGGATCCAGTTCGTGGTAGGGCCTCGGAGCCCCTAAACTGGCCAGAATCGCTAAACCAGGTCTGCCGTAGCTCGTGTTTTTTCGGGTGACGGCAGTTCCCGTTAGTGGAACGGGGCGGATGGGCGTCCCCCAGTACACATCATTTAACCAGGTCCCACTAAACCCAGTTCTGCCAACGCCCGAATTTAGGGGAACAAGCAATGACATACACATGAAAACCAAAGGTCCGCGCGGATTCTCGGATCGGCGCTGGGGCCCCCTGACGGCGCCTCCGGCGCCTCCCCTGGCGCGCTCCGCGCGCCAGGGAGTGGGGTCCAGCGCCGATCCGAGCAATCCGCGCGGACCTCCGAGTTTTTATGTTTGTGTCAGTGTTTTGGGGGCCACATCCGAACCCTACCCTTACCCCCCACGATTTGGTCCACTTCGCTCGGGAGCTTCCGAACGAAGTGAACCCCACCCTCCCCCTCAGAAATCGTGGGGGGTAGGGGCAGGGTTCGCATGTGGCCCCCTATGTTCGTTTCCCTACGACTCGCCTCCTGAGGCAGTTCCCGTGGGCTGACGCCGAGTGGCGTCTACGCGTCGTGTCTGCGGCAGTTGGGGTGCGCGTCCGCCGCGCTGGCACCGATCACCCGTGGTTGTGGCCGCGGTGTTGCTGCGGGTCCGAACACCGGCGTCGTTGCGCTCGCCTCCTGCCGCCGTGCCCACTGCAGGAGGATGTGGCGGCGGGGGTCGCGGGTCAGGCTGGTGTTGCGGGGCAGGGCTGGGCCCAACCGCTGCTTTGCTGGGCTCCGGCCGTGTTTTGTTTTTCGTTTTGGGAGGGAGGTACAGGCGAACGGATAGAGCAAAACGAAAACAAGACGAAAACAAAACGAACAATACAACGAAAAGCAAGACGAAAACAACACGAAACATAATGTTTGGGTCCAGCCCTGTTGCGGGGGTCCGAGGCTGTTGGAACGGGCCTTTCTGCCTTTGCACTCTCGGACCCCATTCCTGGTGGACGTGCCCTGGGCTTTTGAGGTGGAGGGTCGTGGCCATTTCTGGCCCACGGCCTGCAATACTTTCTCCCCTCTGCATTCCCTTTTCCCTCCCACAGTCTTGCGTGCAGTGTTCGATATCATTGTGTAGCTTCAAGAAGGCATTAAGAACCCCCCCTCCCCCCCCCCTTTCCGGTGGATTATAACGCCCCCGCACCCTGGAGCGTTATGGCCGCACCGGAGGACCTGGCTGCGGGGATTCGGGGCCTAGCTACGGCTTCGCAGGGCCTAGCAGTGCTCAGCAGAGGTTAGCAGGGGTTAGCAGGGGTGCGTAGCAGGGCCCTTAGCAGGGCCCTTAGCAGGAGGGGTGGAGGACAACTTGTTCTTATTATTCGTATTGTTATTGCTCCATATTATTATTGCTATCCTCCCTATTGTTCTTACTGCCCATTAATATGACACTACATTGTTATTACTATTCGCATCATATTAATTCTTTACGCTTCGCGTATCCCCACCAGCCCATCTCACAGCAGCAACTCTCGCGAAGCATGCCGACAGTCGTGTTTTTCAGACGTGTGTCCGCTTGGCCCCGCATATCTCCCCTGTTCCTCCTTCCTCCCGCCTCCTTGTACATCCTCCTTGTGGGGGGAGCGGGAGAAGGACGAGGCGGAGGAGGAGGGAGAGAAAGCGCTCCTCGCGATTTGAGTCGTTTGGGGTTTCTCGTCCTGGTGTGAGTCGTTCGGGCCCTTCTTCCTGGTGTGAGTCGTTCGGGCTCTTCGTGGTGTGAGTCGTTCGGGCTCTTCGTCCTGGTGTGAGTCGTTCGGGCTTCTCGTGGTGTGAGTTGTTCGGGCCCCTCGTCCTGGTGTGAGTCGTTCGGGCCCCTCCTCCTGGTGTGACTCGTTCGGGCTCCTCGTGGTGTGAGTCGTTCGGGGCGCCGTGTGGTGTCGTTCGGGCTCCTCGTGGTGTGAGTCGTTCGGGCGCCTCGTCCTGGTGTGAGTCGTTCGGGCCCCTCCTTGTGGTGTGAGTCGTTCGGGCTCTTCGTGGTGTGAGTCGTTCGGGCCCCTCGTCCTGGTGTGAGTCGTTCGGGCTCCTCGTGGGGCCTCTTGGGGGCCTCTTGGAGCCTCTTGGAGGCCTCTTGGGGGCCTCTTGGGGGCCTCTTGGGGCCTCTTGGGGCCTCTTGGGGGCCTCTTGGGGGCCTCTTGGGGGCCTCTTGGGGGCCTCTTGGGGCGTCTTGGGGGCCTCTTGGGGGGTCTCTTGGAGGCCTCTTGGGAGCCTCCTGGGGGCCTCTTGGGGCCATCTTGGGGCCTCTTGCGACCTCCTCAGAAGCGCAAAGAAGAGCTACCCCCTGAGAAGGACAAAATGAGGCCAAAACTTTTGTAAAATCAATGGTTTTGCTATGAAGGACGATGAGCGCTGCCCCCTCAGAAGTCCAAAATGGGGCCAAAACCATAGTAAAATTCCTCGTGAGGGTCGTCGTTTTTTAGCCCTCCCAGGAGTCGAAATTGACCCCCCTGACGACCCGCCGGACCCCCTCTCCAGGCCCAGGGGGAGGGGGTAGGGGGAGGGGTAAACCCCTCCCCGAAGGGGAAGAAGGGGGGTTGAGGACAGAGAGAGCTCGCTAAACCACTCACGCCCAAAGGGCTGGTGGGATTTTCCTACCTATGAATCGTATTCTTATTACTACCGATTCGTATTCGGACCGCGCTCTGACCACGCCTAGCAGGGCTTAGCAGTGCTTAGCAAGGCTTAACAGGCTCAGACTGCTCAGACTCACTCACACTCAGAATCCTTGCATGCCCGCTCCTCGGGCTCTCTCGTATTTCTGGGTCCGCGGGTGCTAAGATAATGCGGGGGTGCGGGGCGGGGGGATACCCTGGGGTGGGCTCCCCCCTTGGAAGGCCGACGAAAGTCTATTTCTTTAAGGGGGATGTAAAAGGAATCGCGTAGGAACAGAAGGAGGAGGAAGAGGATGAGGATGAGGATGAGGATGAGGATGAGGATGAGGAGGAGGAGGAGGAGGAGGAGGAGGAGGAGGAGGAGGAGGAGGAGGAGGAGGAGGAGGAGGAGGAGGAGGAGTGGAGGAGGAGGAGGAGGAGGAGGAGCTAGGAAACAATACGAAAACACAGGAAAAACAGAGTTGTGCTTGAGTTGTGGGCCAATGACTTGAGAAGTGCCTGGGTTGTGTGTCAGACACTGCAGCAGTGCCTGGGTTGTGGGTCAGAGACTGGAGCAGCGCCTGGGTTGTGACTGAATCGTTCTGCTCAGACTCGCTCACATTCAGATTCATTGTGCTTAGACTCACTCACATTCAAAGTTCGTGATCCTTATTGTCATTGTGGTAGTTTTCATTAGTATGAATATTAGTTTTATGACCACTCTTGCTTGGCTTATCATTCGTATTGTGATATTCCTGCTCAGACTCACTCACATTCAGATTCGCTCTGTGTCCACGCCTCGGGCCCTCTGGAAGTTCCGCGCCGCCCGGTGCTAAGGTAACGCCTCGGTGCGGAGCGGGGCGTTACCCTCGGATGGACCCCCCCCGAGGACGGCCGACGAAAGTCGAGTTCTGTAAAGGGATTGTAATAGGAATCGCATGGGAAAGGAGGGCGAGGAGAAAGAGGAAGAAAGGGGAGGACAAGGAGGGGAAAGCGCCCAGGGACCCCAGGGCCTGTCTAGCAGGGCTTAACTAGCACGGCTTGGCAGGGCCCTGCGCAGGGCGTAGCAGGGCTTAGCAAGGCCTAGCAGGATTTAGCAGGGCTCAGCAGGGCCCAGCAGAGCTTCCCAGAGCTCAGCAGGGCTTGGCAGGCCTGGCGGGTCTTAGCAGGGCTTAGCAGGACTTAGCAGGGCTTAGCAGGGCTTGGCAGGTCTTAGCAGGGCTCACTTACCAGGTCTGAGCAGGGCTTAGCAGTGCTTAGCAAGGCCTAGCAGGGCTTAGCAGGGCTTAACCTCCGACCGCGCTCGGGCCCACGCCTAGCATGGCTCAGCGGGGCTTAGCAGGGCAGGGCTTATCAGGGCTTAGCAGGGCTTAGCGCGGCTTAGCACGGCTTCGCAGGGCTTGGCGAGTCTTAGCAGGGCGCAGCAGGGCTTGTTTGACATGGCTTGCCAAGGCTTAGCAGGGCTTAGCAGTGCTTAACCTCGGACCGCGCTCCGGCCCACGCCTAGCAGGGCTTAGCAGGGCTTAGCTGGGCTTAGCAGGGCTCAGCAGGGCTTAGCGGGGCCCAGCAGAGCTTAGCAGGGCTTAGCGAGGCCAAGCAGGGCTGAGCAGGGCTTGGCAGGGCTTAGCACGGCTTAGTAGGGCTTAACAGGGTTTAGCAAGGCTTAGCAGGGCTTGGCCGAGCTTAGCAGGGTTTCGCAGGGCTTAGCAGGGCTTAGCCTCGGACCGCGCTCGGACCAGGGCTTCGCAGGGCTTGGCAGGACCTCGCAGGGCTTAACCTCGGACCAAGCTCGGACCACGCCTAGCAGGCTATAGCAGGGCGTAGCAGCGCGGAGCAGTGCTGAGCAGGGCCTGCCTAGCAGGGCTTAACTAGTAGGGCTAAGCAGGGCCCTGCACAGGGCTTGGCAGGGCTTAGCAGGGCTTAGTAGGGCTTGGCAGGGCTTCGCAAGGTCTAGCAAAGCTTAGCAGGGCTTGGCACGGCCCCTCGGCCCGCAGGGCTTAGCAGAGGTTCGCAGGGCTAAGCGGGGCTTAGCAGGGCCTACCAGGGATAGAGGTCCACAGAGATCTGGGCTAGATCCTTGACATTCGTTGCGGCACCCTGTCTTGGCTTCATTGGGGCGGCCACCGATGGATTTTGTTTTCTGTTTGCGGCGGGTGCTAAGTTTATCGTTCTGCGAGAACTGCCCGCATGGAATATTGAAAACCGGGTGCTAAGAATAACCTAGGGGGGTTTCTTAATGCCTGGTCAGGGTTAATGCCTTCGTGTAAGCTCACCCAGTGGGAAGATGTGCACATGGGACATCTTTAATCCACTGCTGTCATACGTGGGGCGACAAGGTGTCCGGTGTTCATGGTCTGGAGCTGCGTTGCCGCACTGGCTGCGCACCCCACATGTGCTGCTCTGGCAGGGGTGGACGTTGGCGTCCAGTGGGAGGTTGGTTTGGTAAAGGTTGTGGTTCCTCTGATGTATCCGCTGTCGGAGATGCTGCGTGTCCATGCCATCTGTAATTGCGTGGTCGCTGGGGCCATGGAGGTGGGCAAGCGCTGCTCCATGACCGCTCCCGCAAGGTTGACGTAATGTGTGTTTGATGCAGTGGGATGCTGTGTGGCTCCGCTGTCGGTGTTGGCTTGCTGTTGCGTCGTTGTCGGGGTCGGTGGCTGTGCCTTCGTGTTGGCTCCCGTGTGGGTCCCTTGATCGCGTGTTCGCCGTCGCTTCCGGGTTGTTCGTCTCGCTTCTGTGTGGTGTCGATGTCGTCGTGAGACTGCAGCGGGTACTCCAGGAGGTTGTTGAGCTGAGCGATCATGTTCCCGGCAATCTCTTGCTGAATTTCCGTGGCTTTGAATGGCAGTGCGTCGTTGGCCAGGTTGTTTGTCGCTGCAAGCCGCAGGTAGGTGATGATGCCGTGGGTGGCCCTCTGCCTCGCGGTGGGCACCCCCATGGCGTTTTGTTGGTGTAACGGTTGTCTTTCAATCCGTGGGCGCTATTTATGAGGGTGCGGTACAGTCAAGGCGCTGAAATAAGGGCCGCTTTGGGTTCAGAGGCGGCTCGCTGTTCCTTGGCTCATTCCGTGGTTGTTCCTCCAGCCCTCCTCTTGCACCCGGGCGCCATCTGTGCCGAGGAGGGGCTTCCGTCCTCGTGTGGCGTTCCTTAGATTTCAGCAGCCAGGCTGTACGTGCCCTCCTCGACGACGTGGCCTCCCGAGACGCCTTCGGAGGTTGTCGATCAGGCCCACGACGTCTGCTGACGACGTCAGGGGTCCGTGCCGTGGCCGCAGGCCTCCCGGCTCGGGAGCTGCGGCTGCGCGTCTCCGCGTGCCGTTGGCGTCGGCGGCTGAGAGGTTCTGCGCCGTGGCGTGGCCGCTGGCACCTCGGAGGTGGGCGGGGGCCTGTATTCATCGGGGCTAAAAAGACTCGGGGCCTAACAGCACGATGGAGGCGTCGCCTCACTGAGGTCCCGTCTTTGCATCAGGGGTCAGAAGTGTGGGCGGTCTGTTTCGACACATCTGTAGTACGAGACCCCCCCGTCCCTGATGTGTGTTGGCCCTCCTAACTTTGGTCCCCTCCCGAAGGCTTAGGGATCCGATGGTTGCAAATCATGCGTGGCGCATGCTGGTTTGCCGTCGTTGGGATTGCCTTCTGTGGGGTTGCCATGGGCTGCCCCGTCTCGGCCCGTGGGGAGGGCCTGGCCTCGTGCTCCGGTGGGGCGGTGCCTGGGATGGCCTTCGGTGGGGGGCCCTGGGGCAGTGGCGGGCGGTGCTGCTGGCCACGTTGGCCGAGCTGTTTCCTGTGTCCTAGTCCTCCTCCTCCTCCTCTTCCTCCTCCTGGTCCTCCTCCCCCTCCTCCTCCTCTTCCTCCTCCTCCTCCTTTTCTTTCTGTGAGGATGATGATGAGGAGGAGGGGGATGCGGTTGAGGAGGAGTGAGGAGTGAGGAGTGAGGAGTAGGGAGGAGCTGCTCGTGGAAGGGGCAGCTCCTGTCCCAGCTCATCCAGCTGCTGTCCACGCGGCCCCACCACACCCTGCTGCTGTCGGACCCGGGCCGCCGCCGCCGCCGACGACGACGACCCCCGGACTTGTCCTGGGGCGCGCTCCGACGATGAGCCCGAGGCGGGTCCAGCCACTGGACCTGACCGACTCTCGGCGGCGAGCGAGGGGGGGAATTGCGAAGGAGAAGGCTTTCTCAGAAGGCGGCGGGAATCTCAGAAGCCCTCGCGCCTTCCGAGAAGGTTTTGCTGTCTTCGGGGAAGGCTTAGAAAACTTCTCAGGAGGCCAGGGGACTTCCGAGCCTTCTGAGAAGGCCTTCTCCTCCTTACTTCCCCCCCTCGCCGCCAAATCATGCCTCACGTTGTCGTTGTCGTCGCTGTCGTCCACCCACGAGAGCGAGGCCCTCCCACCGACGGGCGCAAGAAAAGGCGCCCCAGAGCGACTGTGCCCTCGGTGCCGCGCCCCTCCGCGAGGTCGAGCGCAAGTCTCGCCTGCAGCGCGCCGTCGCTCCTCCGGGGCTTTGATCTCGGTACTCGCGTCCCGAGAAACTTGGGGGCCCCCAAACGGGGTGGTGACCACACTGTGTGGTGAGTCGGTGGGGATTCGGGGTCACCGCACGGTTTTGGGGCACGGTTCGTTCTCCGAGGATGTCTCGGGCGACAGGGGCCTCCGGGTCCCAAGACCGTGCCGTGACACACCGTGCGGTGAGGTCTTGGGGGATTTGGAGGTCACCGCACGGTCTGTCACCGCACCGTTTCGGAATTCTGAAGAGAAACGATGCCTTCTGGCTTTCCTGGGAGGGCCGACAAGCCGCGCTCGGCGCTGCATTGGGGGGGAGCTCAGGGGGGGGGATGCCAAACTCGAGGTCCGAGGTTCGAGGTCTTCGGGATCTTCGGGCGGTTTCGTTGGCTCTCGGCGGTTTCCCAGCCTCGGGATGCTCGCCAGCGGCTGCGCCTCGCCGAGAGCGCAGTGGGGGTGCCCGGATCGTCCCGAACGGCAGCTGGAAGTCCGAGTGGTGGTCCGAGGGCCAGGGAGCGGAAGGTCAGGGGCAGCGTCAGGAGGGTGCAGTGCCGTTTTTCATGCATGCTCCGCGTGCGGATCGTGTATTAGAAATGCAGGGACGTAGTATCAAAAACAACGATGAATTCATGCGTACATGTATTCATACATTCATCATGTATTAAGAATCCAATATTTTTTAAAATCCTATGTATTAGAAACTTCCCTGTATGGGCTCCGGGGATGGAGTGCATCGGCCCTCAGTCGCCCACTCATCGCCGACGGGGGCCCAGTGGCCCACCCCGCCCGTGACCCTGCGGATGTGCCACAAGGGGTCTATGGCCGATCTGTCGGCGATGTGCTGCCGATTCCAGGTGGAGGTCCCGCCCCCGCCCCCCCCCCCTGAGCTGGTCCCCCCTCGCGTAACCCCCCAATAACACGGTTTTTCTCGGGATCATGGCTAAAAGTGCGGTGGCTGCGACGCACGCCGCGCGAGGCGGCTCACGGGCCAAAACGCTTACGGTTCGGGTGCACGCTGCGTTGATGCTTCCCCTCACCATGCACTGCTAACTACGACTCTGGTTGCTACATGCCTGCTTCGCAGACCTGGCGTGCCACCCGCAGGCGCGCCAGTGCTGCATTTGCCTGGCAAAAACTTGCTTGAATTTGACGGAGGGTTATATAGCCTCGGCCGCGACGAGCTCCTGTCGCCGCCAGGGCGATGGAGACGCCCGGCGGCGGTGGCGACGGCGAGGGCCATGGCGGCGACGACGCCGATGGCGGCAGCGACGACGGCGGCGACGAGGACGATGGCGGTGGCGACGACGACGATGGCGGCGATGACGACGCAGCCGACGACGACGATTGTGGAGACGACGACCAGCGACGGCGGCGACGACGACGCCAACGATGACGGCGACGACGGCGACGTCGACGATAACGACGACGACGACGACGACGACGACGACGACGACGACGACGACGACGACGACGACGACGACGACGACGACGACGACGACGACGACGATGTCGGCGACGACGGTGACGGCGGCGACGACGACGACGGCGTCGATGACAATGGCGGCGACGATGGCGGAGACGACGACAGCGAAGATAATCAGGACCTGAGCGTGCTGCTGCCCTCCAACCTCCGGAAGCTGGCGGACAGCCGCGGTGGCATCAGAGCCTGGCTGAAGAGCTGGCCAGCCATCATCCAGGCCCCTCCGTCGTCGGTCGGTCGGTCGTTGGTCGTCGTTCGTCGTTTTTCTCCTCGTCCTCGTCCTCCTCCCTCCCTCCTCCTCAGACGAAGCGGCACGGCTAGGCCTCACTTGATTTTGAATGTCACCAAGCTCTCGTCGATGCGAAGTAGCCCCGAACTCGGCCCGACAGCTCGATCGATCGATTCTCCTCCTCCTCCTCCTCCTTAAGATGTCCAAGGGCTTTCAAGTCCTTGCTGCGTAACACTCACGCAGGGGAATCACGCATACGCTCTGCACTGCACCTTAGCGGGCGCATTGACGTTGACACAGTTATGCGGGTGTCCTGTCCTGTCCTGTCCTGTCCTGTCCTCCTCCTCCTCGTCTCTGCCTCTGAGAACTCGCGCCCTGCTCGAACAGAGCCCTGATTTGCAGTGCCTTGTACATTGACTTTGTCTTTAGCGTTCGCCACAAGTTCCGTACGGTAGACCCCACTCGCAGCCAGCCGAATCCTGGCCACTGCTATTGCCAGGGGACAACAGCTTCTAAGACGAGATGACCGGCTCAGTGCCATGATTGGGCACTGGCCCTCATACGTACAGTTGTGGGCAGTGCGGTGCCGTCCCAGAGCGAGCGCCACCGCTCGTGCCTGCGAAACCCAGAGTGCACCCGACAGAGCCTGGCTAACCAAGTAAGGCAGCATGTGCGACACGCTGGCGTGCACCCAGGATGGGCCGGCACGCCCAGATATGTACTGCCGATGTGTGTTATGTGCTTGTATGAACTGCCGAATGAGGAGAGGCGGGGAAGAAGGACGAGGGGGATGAGGGAGATAATGATGATGCTGCTGATGATGATGACGATGATGATAATGCGGAGGAGGAGGAGGAGGAGGAGGAGGAGAAGGAGGAGGAGGGACGCCATTCTCTCGCCCTGCTTGTGCCTGCTGGCCCGCCTCTGTCCCTCCCACTTCAGGCGAGGCTACTCTCCTCCTCCTCTTCCTCCTTCCTACTTCACCGCGCGCGCTTTCGCGCGTGCCCTCCTCCTCCCCCTCCTCCTCCTGCTGCTCCTCTTCCTGCTGCTCCTCTTCCTCAGCGATGTCGTGGTATCTAATCCAAGGCTCAAGCGAAGACTGTGGAGCTCGGTCGTGCAAGCTTTATGCAAGCAGCCTCCCTCTCCTCCCTCCCTCCACTCCCGCCCGCAAGCCCTCCTGCCCCTCCGTCTCCCCTCCCTCCCTCCCCTCCCCTCCCTCCCCCAAGCCCTGAACTTCCCCTCCCTCCCTCTCTCCCTCCCTCCCCCCCAAATCGCACCCCTCCCCAAGCCCCCCTCTCCTCCGTGCCCCCTCCTCCCGGTGGGCGTCCAGCCGCGGGGCGGGCTCGCAGCCGCGGCGGTCCCGGGGCGCCTCGCTCAGGTCTCCGGCGAGCCCGGCAGGGAGTCGGCGACCCTCACCCTGCAGGAGCCCTCCTCGACCCTCCTCCCCCTCCTCCTCCATTCCTTTTCCTCCTCCTCTTCCTCCTCCTCCTCCGAATATTTATCCTCCTCCTCCTCCTCCTCCTTCTCCTCCTCCCCCCTCCTCCTCCTCCCCCCTCCTCCTCCTCCTCCTCACCCCTCCTACTCCATTCCTTTTCCTTATGATTAACCTCTCACTGTCGCACCCCGAGGCCGGTCGAAAGGGCGGGCTGGGCGTTTCGCCTCAGACTTCCTCACCATGAACGGCCCTGATATTCAAACAGTTGCAACAGTTTCATAGATGGAGGGCGGGTGGTTTTCAACATGTGTCTCTCGCCTTAGCGCCGCGCGCATTCGTTTTCCAAAACTCCACGACTTTCACGGATTTCGGGCGGGTGTCTTGCTTTAGCGCCGCGCGTATTCCATTTTAATCATTGCAGAAGTTTCACGGATGGAAGGCGGATCGTTTTCAAAATGTGGCTCTCGCTTTGCGCGGATTGAGGGTGGTTCGTTTTCAAAGTGTGGTTCTCGATTTAGCACCGCGCATATTATTTTTTAAGCAATTACACGTGTTTCACGGATTCCCATGGTCAGCGTACCAGACATAGTGTTTTGGACAATTTCTTGATTACGAGGGTGCAACAGTTACGTGGATTCGCGGTGTTGAAGTCCCAGGGAAGGCGTTTTGGCACGATTCAGGGTCGTCAAGACGCAACAGTCAGGTTGATCCGTGGCGTTGGAGTCCCAAGACTTTTTTTTGGTATGCTTCCGGTTTTTGAAACGGTCGTCTTCCAACCAGGCATTTCCCTCAGTGTAGATGAACCCTTGTAGGGGCCTATGAAGAGGGACTTTGGAGGGAGAGTTTATGCGAACATCTTTGTTGACTCTTGGTTTTACACTGGTCCCTCCTCCTCCTCCTCCTCCTCCTCCTCCTCCTCCCTCATCGATCCTGCTCGGGAGGAGGAGGAGGAGGAGGAGGAGGAGCAGGAGGAGGAGGAGGAGGAGGAGGAAGAAGAAGAAGAAGAAGAAAAAGAGGAGGAGGATGAGGAGGAGGAGGAGGAGGAGGTGGAGGAGGAGGAGTATTTTTTGAGCTCAACGCCCGCACAGCCTTGGTGAACAAACACAGCAGTGGTGGCTGAGAAAACTACCTCCAGCAACCCCATGGGCTAGGAGGCACTGGCCACACGACGGGCGACCGCCCCGTGGCCAGAGCAAGAGAAACACAGTCCAGCGCCTCTGCAGGGCATACGCTTGGGGAGGGCAACTCCTCCCCCGTGCCTGCCTCGCAACCTGTACAGTGAGGTTGGCGGAGGAACAGGATGAAGAGTGAGGAGGGAGGAGGGAGGGGGGGGGGGGGGGAGGAGGAGGCAGGAGGGAGGAGAGAGGGAGGGAGGGGGAGGGAAGAGGGAGGATGGATGGGGGGGAGGGGGGAGGAGGGAGGGAGGACGGGAGGAGGGAGGAGGGATGAGGCATGATGGAGAAGGGAGGAGGGAGGAAGGATGAGGGAGGAGGGGTGGGGGGGCGAGGGAGGCGGGAGGCGGGAGGCGGGAGGAGGGAGGAACGAGGAGGGATGAGGGCGGAGGGCGGAGGGCGAGGGAGGGGGGATGAGGGCGGAAGGAGCCTTGAGGAGGAAGGAAAGAGGAGGATGAAGGAGGAGGGAAGAGGGGGGAATGGGGAGGAGAGAAGGAGGGGGGAGGGAGGGAGGGAAGGATGGATGGATGGAGGGATGGAGGGGTGGAGGGAGGGTGGGGGGATGGAGGGTTGGATGGGGGGAGGGATGATGATGATGATGATGATGATGATGATGATGATGATGATGATGATGATGATGATGATGATGATGATGATGATGAGGAGGAGGAGGAGGCGGAGGAAGAGGATGACGAGCTGGAGGAAAAGAAGGGTGACGAGGAAAATGAGGATACGATTATTCGTAATATAAAATGATTCGTAACAGTAGCAATAATACTAACCCTAATCGTAATACTCTCACTAATAAGAAGCACATTGTTTTTGCCACTACTAAAACTATTCGGTGCAGCGCCAGTAGTGATGCTAATACTGCTACACATAATAGCACTCAAAATGCTTAAACGAAGGCTACGAAGGCGACGGCAAAGACGAGCATACATACTAAAACTAAGAAGAAGACGTGGAGGAGAAGGAGGAGGACGAGGATTATTTTAAGTGTAAAGCCAATGCCCATCAATACTGTTTCAGTAGCCGCACTCCAAAGTCCATCTGCGTAGGTCCCTACAAAGGGCTCGTTCTCACAAGGGGGCGTGACCCGTTGGAAGGCACTTGTTTGAAAATCCCGAGCTGTACCAGAACACCATTCCTGAGACTTCAATGTCGCGGATTGCGGTTGCTGTTGCGTCTTGGCGATCCGGACCCGTGCCTGAGCATTACCTTTGAGATTTCAACACCGCGAGCCAGCGTATTTGTTGCGCCCTGACAGTCTGATACCGTGCCAACACGCTCATTCTGGGACGCTAGCTATTGTAAGCGTTCAGTGCGAGTGTGCGCGGCGCTAAGGCGAGAACCACCGTGTGACACGGAACCGCCATCCATGTGTGAAGCCCTTGCAATGGTTTGAGACGAATCTGCGCGGCACTGAGGCAATCGCCACATTTAACAAGGCACCACCCTCCATCCGTGAAGCTCTTGCGAACGTTTCAGACTAATGTGCGCGGCGCGAAGGCGAGAGCCACATCTTGAATCCGACCCGCCCTCCATCCGAGAAGTTCTTGCATTTTTTTGAGACGGCTGTGTGCGGCGCCAAGGCGGGATCCTCCTCCTCATCATCGTCGTCAGCATCATCATCCTCCTCCTCCTCGACCTGTCTGTTTCTCCTCCTCCGCCTCCTCCTCCTCCCCCCATCCTCCTCCTCCTCCTCCTCCTCCTCCTCCTTCCTCCTCCCCCTCCATGCATGACGAAAGGACCGAGCAGGATCGATGAGGGAGGAGGAGGACCGAGCAGGATCGAGGATGGAGGAGGATGATGCGGAGCAGGAGGAGGAGGATGCGGAGGAGGAGGAATACGATGAGGTGAAGGAGGAGGAATCTGATTAGGATGGTGCAGGTGATGATGATTGGAGGATGCGGAGGAGGAGGAGGAGAAGGAGGAAGAGGAGACGAGATTATGCTGATGAGGATGATGATGCTGCTGCTGATGATGATGCTGCTGATGATGATGCCGATTCTGATGATGATGATGCGGCTTTTGTTGCTGCTGATGGTGATGATGGTGATGCTGGTACTGAGATGCTGGTAATGAAATGCTGATGTTGATGTGGATGCTGACGTTGTTGATGATGGTGATGCTGATGCTGATGCTGTCGATGATGACGATGATTCTGCTGCTGATGCTGATGATGACGCTGCTCCTGTTGTTGATGATGACGGCGGCGATGCTGACGCTGATGATGATGTTGCTGCTGCTGATGATGATGCTGCTGATGTTGATGATGATGTGGCTGATGCTGCTGATGATGATGCTAATGGTGATGACGATGCTGATCATGAGGATGCTGATGCTGCTGCTGATGCTGATGATGCTGCTGCTGATGGTGATGATGATGGTGATGCTGCTGATGGTGCTGTGTTGATATTGATGATGCTGCTGCTGCTGCTGATGATGACGATCACGGTGGCGACCATGATGCTGGTGACGAGAATGATGGTGGCGATGCTGCTGCTGCTGTTGCTGCTGTTGCTCCTGAAGCTGAAGAAAGCAATGACGAGGCTGCTCCTCCCCCCCTCCTCTCCACCTCCCTCCTCCTCCTCCTCCTCCTCCTCCTCCTCCTCCTTCTCCTCCTTCTTATAACATTCAGAATCTCCTGACGGGCAAGCGCCCCAAGTCTGGCTTGTTTTCAGGCCCTCCAGTTTTGTTGCGCGTTCGGAGGTTCTGCGAGACGGCTTGTTTGTCGCCGCTTCCATCCCTCCGTGATACTTGTGGGGCGGGGAGTGGGTCGGGATCGGGGGCGGGGTGGGCGGGGCAGGAACAACTCTCTCGTACTCTTGGGTCCCAGGCTGAAATGGCGACTCGGGCAACGATGATCCTGCCCGCGATGCGAGGCACTGGGTCGAGTAGCGTTTCCATGGCTGGCCACATTTCTTTTTCAAACCAAAGGTCAGTACGCTTGCGGCTGAGTTTTGTCAGGTCAAAAGACTTTATCCTCCTTCTCCTCCTCCTCCTT